GTTTGTGTAGAATACAATTACAAAATATCAAATATCACAAAAATTTCCGAAAGTTGTCACTAACCAAATGTGAAATGGCCTTTTAAAGAAAATCTTTAGATAATACTAGTCCTAATCCTAATTAAAACACTTCATCTACTTGATTTGTCACCGCTGATTAAGGGGTAAAATATAAGCAAGAAAGGTCAAGAGGAGCCACCAACATAAAGATTCACTAAAGCTCAATTTTGCTTGTGAAGCCATCAAGTCATAAGTTCTACCTGTATAAACAGCTAAAAACAACTAAAATACAAAGGGCAGAAAAAGACCCCACACGCCATTTCCACACAATACACCACCTTGTTCTCATCTCATTTGATTAAGCCCAACGCGTATGCTTTCTACCGCTACTTTATCTTCGCCCGCTTCCATTGACCATTCCATTCCCTCTATATATAAATCTTTCTCTTAGTTATTTCAACGAACACCTTTAGTTCCGACGAAAAAAGCAAAAACTTTTAGTTCTATGCGTTGATCATCATGGGTAACTATGTTTCGTGCATGTTATCCACCCCTTTAATCAAGAACAGAAAGGCGGCAAGAGTCGTGCTTCCGGGCGGGGAGCTTCGGCAGTTCAGGGAACCCGTGAAGGCGGCGGAGCTCATGTTGGAGTGTCCGAGTTTCTTTGTCGTGAACTCCCAGGCTCTTCACATAGGCAGGAGGTTTTCTGCGCTGGGTGCGGATGAGGAATTGGAGTTCGGGAACGTTTACATCATGTTTCCGATGAAGAGGCTCAACTCAATGGTGACTGCAGCTGACATGGCTGTGCTTTTCATGGCAGCCAATTCTGCCGCCAAGCGGATATCAGGGGGGGATGTTCGGATCCAGCCGGCGTCTGGCGAGAGGGAAAGCTCGAACGAAGATGAAAACGGAGGATCGACAGTGGGTTTGGAAGGAATTAATGAGGGGTTTCTTCCGTCCCCGGAGATGAATTATAGATTAGCTGCTTGTAGATCAAGGAAGCCTCAATTGGAGACAATAAATGAAGAATCGCTTCCTGTTGGCTCAAGATGATTATGTTCGGTTAATTTACTAAAAATAGGAAGATGAAAATTGAGTTAATTTTCTTTGTGTTTGTATTTTTCTTTCATTATTTTCTGGTACATACTATTTTTCTTTCTTTTCTTTTATTTTCTTTTCTTTTCCCTTTTTTTTTTTTGTATATACTATTTTTCTTAATAAGGTGATAAATACATGATAATTCACACTTTCAATTTATTAAAAAAAACTAAGAAGAATTACTAAAACTATTATGCTATGAGAATTTATTATTAACAAATATCATTAAACAAACTATTTTTGTTTTCTTCGGTAGGCATTAGTAATTTTGGTGGGATGGGGATCATAGAGACGCGGTTGCTAATGTGAATGTGCTTAAATATAGATGTATCGATGACAACTATTTCATTTGTGTTTTAAAAATGAATCCAAAAGGCTAATTCTGTTTAGAAATTGATTAAAAAACAATAAGAACATCTAATTCATGGGTCTTTTTCTTTTTTCTTTTTCTTTTTTTTTTTTTCCTTTTTAAAGAAATTCTTTGGTTGTTGGGAGTGTTTGACATTACAGTACACGCATTTGACTAGAAAATGAAGAGGGAAATCATCCCACGTTTGTAAATTGTAATGGTATTAGCAGAAAAATATGACTGCCATACCTGGAAGAGCCGCTGTTTAATAGCTGATTTTTAAATTAAAGGATAATGCTTTGAATTTTGACTGCCGAATCTGGAATGTTATTGATCGACTTAAACTGTCCCTAAATTAGAACTTGTACATGCCTTTTTTTTTTTTTTTACAGACGGTAACAACAGCAACTACATGTGAAACAACTATATGCATACATGATGATGGAGATGGACAAGCTAAACCTACTCGGCCTATGTGAATATGGAGGAAGCAATGCTGCAACAACATATGGTTCAGATACAGAGAGATGTCAAAGGGTCTTGACATGCAAATATACAGGCCGAACATGGATGTTAGTGATTACATGTCCATGTCATCAAATATTTCCCCGTCCTCCTCATAACACAAGCTGTCCATGGGAAATCCATCCACCACCAAGTTACTGTCAAAAGAAAAAAAAAATGTAACGATGCAAAGCAGTTGACAGTTAGCACTGATGAGTTTTGAGGCCTAAAACAGTTGAAGCCTGTGAAAAGTTATGGAGCTTAAATTATAATTCTTAACCTACCTTAAGCAGCAGAAATGGAAACTAACTACACGCTTCTGTTTTCTATTATAGAAGAAGAAGATGAATGACCATCTGGAAATTTCAGGAGTATGGAAATTAGTCATGCTTAAAGCTGAACACCTAACAACCCATGGATTTATAATTTAATGACTCACATTGCTCCTTTCTCCAGAAAGGGGTCTGCATCAGAATCTGGATTGTAACTGTAAATTTCACAATCAGATAGTTTCACAACCTGCATTACAGGGTATGGATAGGTATCACAAGTTTGCCTCTTCATATACTTAATATTCGCTTTTATCAAATCACCCGTACCTCATCTAGTGCCTTGTATACAGTTTCTAGGAGGGAACTGTCCCCATATGTCTCAACCCACTCCTGTATAATCAATCATATACAGCAGGAAATGAGAACTCACGGTTTAGAGACCTTCCAGGATAAGGTTAACAGAATCAAATATCATGGTGAGCCATCTAGACAATGCAATGGTTTAGGGGGGAGAAACTGCCAGTATTCACTAGTGATCCTGTCACGCCTCTCCCCACCCAGAGAAGAGAAAAAATAGAGGAAAAAAAAAAGTTTAAGCCCAAAAAAAAAAAAAAAATCATTTTCCTTCCATTCTTGCAATTATTAATTAAAGTGGAACGGCCAGTTTGTTCCAGAGAAGGTGCAATAACAAACTCAGAACCTCATACAATTCATTTCAAAATAGAAGACGGAATATGGTTACGTTATGTCTGTAAAAAACAGTCAGAGTATTGAAGATGAGAGATAAAATAGCAGTACTGTAGTAGTAACTGCATTTGGAATATCTGAACAAATGAAATGCAACTCATTTCTATCACAAGCATGTGCCACTAAGCACTCCAATTTTTATGGCAATGAAAAAGAAAGAACATAATTATGGCAATACCTTTGATGCTTCAATCATGTAGGTGTCAAAGATCTGCTTAAAAGTATCCCAGCTTTCCTCTGTGAAGAACTGGTGTGCTTTTACTGCACTGGAAACCACATAGATGCAAGCAATAACATGATATAAGGGCGCCAAATTAAAATAAAGACACTCATGAATTCTTAATTTCTTATCAAATGCCCTTGATAAAAGAAGCACTAATTACTAGCATTAAAAAACAAACCAATCACATGAACTACCAGAATCAGATTTGGGAAATGGAGAGATTTGAACTCTCAGCTCTACCTAGAGCAACAGTTGTCTGAACTGTTTGTCAAACCTTTTGACAACACTCCCAATACAGTTCAAAAGAGGACTATATAGTGGGTTGCCAAGTCGCTCAATAAGCTGACTGTGGCATTACCCATAATCCTCCTTTCTTTCAAAATTAAACTTTCTCGATCTAACATAAGACACAGAGATACCTGAAGTCATAATCTGGATACATGTGATAGAGGGTAAGCACCAAGTAGATCACCGTTTTTCGGCTGGAACGTGTAGGTTAAAAAGCTGGTCAAATAATAATCTGAATGCCAAATCATACTTACAAAACAATAAAAGGTAACATTCCCAACCTTGATCTGCTCAACAGGAAATCAGCTGGTGAAGAGGAATCAGTGTCTGAAGATTTCCCAAGATAATCCAAGATCTGAAGTGACAAAAGGGAAAAAAAATCCCGACCCCAAAAAGGAAGGAAATAAGAAAAATTTTCAAGGCATTAAATTAAAATCTTCACGAAAAACTGCCTAAACATTCGGCAAATTCTTACTATACCTCATTTTCCAAACTGAGAGATAGTCTTTTGTCTGTTCCAGTGTGTTTACCTATAATTTAAAAGGAAAGGAATTACATCTGTTCTTCAGGAACCTTAAAACAAGTGATGAAATTGAACTTACAGGAGTAGGCTTCAAGGGTTCCTTTGATTTGACGTTCCCCAAGGTTTAAATTACTCAAGAAATCATTTATTCTGAAAAAAAAAAAAGAAAAGAAAAAAAAGATACCGCTAAATTCAACAATGAAATTTATATATAAAAAGAAAACCTTGAAAATCAAATAAATTACCGGTCAAGAGGAGTGTATTCTAAGAACTTCATGATGATGATGATATTAAACTCAAAGCTCCTGCAGGATGACAAGTAATTCCTAGTGAAATTTACAAACAACCCGTCGAAGATGAAGAAATCGTTATTAAACTGAAGGATAAACAAAAATTCCGATGAAAACTCGAAAATTAATAAGAAAAAATGAAATGAGAAGGAAGTAATCGTTTTGCTCTGCGTAACTTACAGAACGATTTAGGATTAAAGGTTTCAAATTTCTGGATACGTAAGATCACGGATTGTAGGGTCGGAAGAAGAAGAATAAGAAGAAGAAAGAACCCCCAAAATTCGAATATTCGATTTGGTATTGCCTGATTGAGATTAGAATAAAGGCCTGGGAAGTTGGGAAGTTGGGAAGTCAGAACTCAGAAGCGGGTAGTTAGCAGCCATGTCTGGTTTTCATCGTATGGGCTTCTGGCCCAACTTCTAGCCCAAACTTTAAGTTTGAATTTTTTTTTTTTTTTCTGCGAACTGAACACGGAAAAGAGGGGAGCGGGGTTTGCATCGCCTAGTCCATGATTTATTGGTACGAAGGGAAGAAAGTTATAAATTATAATTCATTGGTATGAATAGAATGAATTAGTATTTTTTTAAATAATTTTTTTATATTAGTTATATAATAAATAGGAGGTAATTTTTTTTTATTTTACTTTATTTATATGCAATATGAATTTATAATTTTTTATTTTTAACAAAAAAAAATTACTACCAAATTAGTAAGTAATTTGCTTTTTAAATAAAATCATAAATTTAAATTTTAAAAATAAAAAAGTAAATAAAGAAGAGTTTTCCTCGTTAATTTTACTCAGCTTGATTTCGAATTATCTGGCGTTCTATATAACTTTTAGAAGGTTAGTTCTAAAAATATTTCGCAAAGCTCTGGCAGTGCCTGGCGGCAACCAACTACCGGACTCCGTTTACTGCTTCCTTCCGACTGGAAGTTACAGATCTCAGTTCACATAACGTATTCATTGATTCAGGGAAGATAAGAAATCGCAGCTAATTGTAGAGAACAGTGAAGCACCACTGCACCGGTAATCCAGCTCCCTTTTTCCTTCCGTGTCTCTTAATTGTATATTTGCTTCTGATTTTGAACCTCTGGAGCTTAGAAGCAGAGTCTTTCTCCTTGCCATCGCGAATAATTCTTCGAGATATTAGTAGCAACGGCAACTGCGGTGAGCAGCAGGACTACGCCGAGTCGAATTAAAGGCCACGAATTTCGATGCTGTTCACAGTTGAATTCTTCGCTCACTGGTTAGTAAATCTGAGTCTTGCAATTGCTGCCTAAGACTTAACTCATTAGATTGTTAAAGGTTTGAGATTTGAGTTCAGTCTTTTGCAATCCAGACTGTAAAAGACCCGTCATTGGATGGAGGAGCCTCTTAATTCAATGAACAATGGTGAGTATTTAGCAGTCCAGTGCACAGGGATAAACTCAGCCTCCCACAGTAGGAATCCAGATTACAGGCCCTGTACTACACAGACTGTCCTGCTTAAGGTTCTGTCCTGTACTCCTTTTTCTGTTGAATGTTTAATTTTGGGTTGTACACAGTAACACAGATTATATACCACAACATAACCTTAATTTGGGAGAACTGTCCTATAACAGTGCCCCTAATTTTCATCTGCTTTTATATGCTGCATACATCTTTTGATCAGTTCCCTTGTATTTATGAAATTTTGTTCAAGTTATGATGAAGAGAATTGAGTGTCTCTAAAAAACAATTTTGCAAGGCCACATCATTGTTTAGTTCCAATAAAATAGGCTTCATCCTTGTTGATTATGTTTTACTTGTCTGAGTTGTCTCGAGTTAACATTAGTTCTTTTTTTCTGGTTTATAAATGTTGATCTCATAGATGCATAACAAATATAAAAAAATAAATGCAGAAAAATTGAAAGATGTTTGTATCATTGGTGCATCCATTAGGAAGACAAGGTCATGAAATTGAAAATACATCAGTTGAACACTGCAAATAAATGGCAATCATGCATGGAATACAGTAACCTTTTTTTTTTTTCCTTGAATGCATTTTCTGAATATATTTCTATGTATTTACAGTGTTTCTTTTCGCACTGTACAACATTTTAGGAGTTTATGCAAAACAACAAGCACATATAAGATAAATTGTTTTGATCTCAAGTGTGGCATTCTTGATTTTGTAGGAGAAAAATGCAAAGCTAATAATAATAATCGCTTCTCCAACCGCTGTAGTTGTGAGCGTATGTTGATGGCTAGCATAGAAACATGTGAGAGGAGACATATACAAAGATGAGCCCACTCTTCCTGATCAGAAGCAGGATCAATATCTTATTTGGAGATAAACCTCAGCAGACGTCGACATTAATTACAGGAGGCTGAGTTTGAGGTTGAGATTGAGGTTGAGGTTGTGAAGTAGTTTGTTCAGTCTCTTCATCCGAAGTCACCTAAAAGGCAACAAGTAAAGCTAGGTTACTAGATGAACTTTATTGAGCATACTATTTTCAATTTAATTTAAATTCTAGCATTGGAGAAGATGAGAGAGTAATGCCATATAGCATGAACTCACCTGTTGGACACGGTGGCACTGCCACCGAAACGCAGTTACTGCTCTAACCACGACATAGATTGGCAGGATAATCCCAAAAGTTCTGAGAAATAACAACTGCGCAATGTAGCAGAGGTAAAATGTCATGAGATCCATTTCAACATTGTTTACATCAAACAGACAAGGTAAGTTTGGCATCTTCTTACCATAAACAATGGAAAAGAGTATTCGTATGTTCCGCTAAGAACTAAAGGAAGAGTATGTCGCAACACCAGCAGGACCATGAACTGCAGACAGAATCATCAATATCAGTAACAACATATATCCTCAGTAACATAAACAGAGGAATGCATTATTTAAGCTCGCCGAAGGGAGTTGATTGGTTAAGAGAGATAGTAAGGGATTTACAATTAGAGCAACTATGCGGTAGCAGATTATCCTTCGAGTGGTTGAAACTGAGTAATCATCATAGCTAGCATCATTGACATCGCCATCAGTTGAAACCATTGCTATAAAACGAGGATTATTTAACCCCCTTCTGGAGATTTCCCAATTACCCCTGAAACCAGCAAAAACAGAAGCACATTGGCGAATTGTAGAGGAAGAAGGAAACGTCCAGATCTATTTAGCTTCCAGATGAGTAAATAGTAGTACCTGTAGTTCACTGGAATTTGAAACAAGGGAGGGGGTGCTGTGTATCCTGGCTTGAATTGCTGAAATACAAGAGATTAAAGATTCAGCTAACTTTAGTGAATAACACAAGGAAGCCTCAGAGCTCAATTGGAAAAGAAATAATCACCTGATGGCATATCTCACAGATAGTGTCACCCTTCTCATTGCACCATCTCTGGACACAGCTGCGATGAGCATACTACAGAAAAATCGAGAATAAGTTAGTCAACTAAGCACCAATATCAACTTGAAATCTGTTAGTCAAACAAACACCAAACTAACCTTCAAGCTACCACAGCAAGAGCAAGGCGTCTCCATGTTGGAATCAACATCCTCGTCCTGGCATATCCTGCATTCCACAATCTTTCTTGGAGTAGATACATCTTCAAAATCCACCTTTGGGGAAAAGTTGACAGGTTTTGTGTCACCAAATGCTGACGTGGTGGCCAGCAAAGCCTGGTTCCTGCTCTCAATTGCAGCTGCCAATGTCGATTCAGTTATCAATCGACCCACTAGTAATACAAAATGATCCCCCATATCCAATTCACAGCACTCAACAATCAAATCAATATGTCCGATGAAAATTCAACAATTCAATCCAGAAACTTCCTCTCCTTAACTGGTTCTCCTGCATAACAAAACCAAGCATTAGAATTTACATCCCTCATCATTCCTGGGACTCCCAGGGACAAAAAAGAAAAAGGAGTAAAAGTTTGTAAATTTGAAAAGAACATTAATGCAACTACCTAACATAAATTCAAAAAATTTCACAAATTGGGGAAAACCCAATTGTGAAGAACACGTTAATAACCATTCTAAAGACACAACAACAAGAAAGGGGAAATACCCAGAAAGGGAAAAGGTGAGATCCCAAGATGCCAAGGAAAAGAGAGAGACCTTTCTCAATCGAAGAACTTAAATTAATTGCAAAGAAGGAAAATGTGGGGATGGGGAAAGGTGAGACTTACAAGAAGGGGATCGTATATCTTCAAGCTAAGAAAAGAAAGCTTTTTCCTTTCTCTCCGTGGGTGTTTGGACTTTGGAGAAGCCTCTGTTTTGGTGATGAAGAAAAGAAATTGAGTAGATTCCTCGCAGAAATTCAAATTGCAAGACAAAGAAAGTGAAAATCCAGACTGACTCTGATCCAAAGATAATATGAATGTTGTTTGGTTTAGAAGCACTAGAACACGTTCCTCTTTTCTCGTATGTTGGGTTTGGATTCTGCTTCAGGCGTCTGCCCATTATATATGAACGTGTTTCTAGTTTGCCTACATGGTTTGATTTTTTGGCCATGTGCAGGTTTGAAACGTTGACCCCGTAAAAAGCATGAATTTTTAAAATTTTAGGGTTTATTTTTTCTTTTTATTATTTGTATTTCATTTATTGCCTTCTTATTGACATTAAGATAGTCATATCCAAATAGTTTCTTCTTAGGGACCAAAAAACAAAAAAACCAAAAAAAAAAAAAA